TCTTACCCTCTATGGAACCCCATGATAAAGGATTCAATTTAATCTTGCCTTAAGGACAGAGGCTGTTTGTTTAACTCTCTTTTCTCAAGTGGTAGAAATTAAAGCTTTAATCTCAAAGCAAAACCAAATTAGCAGGAATATATCCCCAAATTTTGTCACTCGTTCCCCTTGATAGCTCCCTGAGCACATAGCCCCTTGTCCTCTGAGTCATCTCTCTACTCCTCTCTTACATTGTGTATTCAAATAAGTCCACTGAGGGAGTAGAGGGATGCTGGCATCTCTTCCTCTGATAATGGATAATTGAGTTCAATATTATTTTATCACCAGCCCGTGTGCTTTCCAAATAGCCTTAACAGGTTGCACTGTATAAAATCAAGCTAGGGAATGATTCTTTTGAAAATTAACATGTTCAATCAAAATCCAGGAGGCTTTCCCTTTCAAAGCATCTGTTGTCATTTCAAATTTATGAACCACTTTAGCACTGTCTGTGACATCAATTGGCTTTTGAGCTATCAGTTCTTAGTGGGTAGCAATGTATTTTACTGAATGTTAGTAAAAGACAATATCAAGCTTTGATGGCTTATCAAAGTGTTTTCATTAAGCTGCCTTTCAAAATCACTTTTGTAGTATGCTTTGGGGTTACAGCCTGGAAAGATCCGTATATGTGAAGGAAATGAGGAATAATAGTTACACAGATGCAAGTATTCCAGCTGCTGTCTGTCCCCTAAAAATTCTTATCCTTGAGTTAAGAGTAAAGAAAACAACAGGCTTAAGGTTCAGTGTCTCAGTCAGTACCACATTCGTGGTATTTGTATGCCCTCTTCAACAGATCTGAATTCTGTAGCTAAACCTTATGAATAAAAAGCTTTAAGTAATCAAACTTCAAGACTTTAAATTATGCAAACAGTATATAGTTTTTCATAACTTACCAAGAAAATTTTTGCTTAGAAATGGAGATCTCCTACAACATAGATCAGTGCTTCTCCCCAGACTCATTTCCCAGAGATTTGATTCTCATTTAATAATCACCTATGTCTCAGGTGATTATGAGGCAAATTAATTCAAGAACCTCAATGTAAGGAAACTTTCTCTATATATTGATGGTGGGCCTTTATCATGCCCTAAGTGATTAGCTTAGTTTGTAACCACATTGATAACTTCTTTTCCCTTTTCCTCCCCTAACTTCCGGTGTTTACCCTTTGCCCTTTGTATAGGGACCCTCCAATGTAGTCACATGCACAATGAGAGAGTTCACGTTTAATGAAAAAGATTCAAGTTTATATACTGTCTATAGATAGGAAGAAATAAATAAATGGCTTTAACAGCTGACATTTGATGAAGCTTTTATATATTGTTTTCATTCTTTGGTAATTTGGCATAATCTGGCAAACCCAAGCTAGTCTTCCTCCTGCTTTACCGTGCAGTAAAAGAGATTAACTTTAAACAAATAGTAATAATATGCATGACAAATTGTCAAAGAATGAGTGCGACTAAGGAATAGTAAATAATGCTGTAATGACTTCAAGACATAAATTAGGTAACTAATCATATGGCTCAACGAGACTTGGTAAATACTATTTTACTAACCCCTGTTGGTTTGTGATAGGATAAGTATAGGGAGAGTCCTGTTTTAAAGCTACCTTTGATGCTAATGGAGGAGCCAATTCTTTAATGCTAATGGAGTACCTAATTTCATAATTGATTATGATATTAATTTAAATCTGATTTAACCTTATGTATTTTATTTATGATTGATAGGGGTATCTATCCAAATATAAATATAAGCTTATTCTTAATTAATATAAATTTACTTCCATTTGTTGTCTTTCACCAAATTGGTACTTAATATAAAATGACATCAATTTTAACTCACTTGGCTTACATGCACAAATAGTTTATGTTTATAAAAAAGATATGATCCTTTTATTCTTTAAAAAATTGTTTGGATGTCTTTACTGCTGATTCAATAAATTAATCATGATTATATTACTTTATTTTGAAATTGGTACTTAGAATAATTATTATAAGGAATTGAGCTTTTGGCATTCTATCTGTTTGAATGATAATTAAGATTCAGATCATGAAATACTATATTTTTATAAATGTTCCAATTGTTCATTTCTCATTTTTGGATAATTTATTTTATTATTTAAAATGTTTTTTAGATTCTTCTTTAATCCATCTTTCATTTTAAAAAATAGTTTTTTTTTATTTTCTTGGAAAAGGACATGAACAATATAGATTGCCACATGGTTTTTAACAAATATTGAAGAAGGTATGTAGTTGGAGTTGGTGAATTTTCAGAGAGTGTGGTTGGGTTAAACTTGTACATAGCAAAACACTTGGCACACAGAAGATTCAACAATTCTTAGATTTTTTTCCCTACCTTTTCTTTATAGTTTTTTTTGTCTTTAAGGTAGCTTGTTAAGTTAATAAGTTCATGATTCTAATTCATAGTTATGTATTAAAGTTATTATTTTTCTCAGAGAAATAATTTTTTTTGTTTCCAAAGACTTACACTTGGGTTGACTTTTTCTTGTGGTTATATTTTGCCATATGTTTTCAAATTTATAATATGTGTACGTGTGAAGAGAAAAATAAAATCCAAGAATTAAAAAAAATAATTCCATCAACTTTCTTTCTAGAATGTGTTATTTCCTAGAGTAAGAAACTGATATTAGAAAATCAATTTCTATTTTTACTACTTGTAAAGTGGTAGATGGTGATAAAACATTGGCCTGAAAAAAAATTAAGCTCTGGGGCTGTTTCCACTTCTTTGCAATTGTAAATTGGGATGCTGTAAACATTAGTGTGCATATGTACTTACAATAAAATGACTTTTCTTTTTTGGGTAGATACCTAGTAATGAACTGTAGGATCAAATGGAAGGTCTACTTTTAGTTCATTGAGGACTATTCATACTTTTTTCTATAAAGGCTCCACTAGTTTGCATTCCCACCAACAGTGCAAGAGTGGTCCCTTCCTTCCACACCCAAGTCAGCTATTATTGCTTTGGGACCTTGTGATGTGGGCTATTCTCACTGGGGGTTAGGTCATATCTCAAACTGGTTTTGATTTGCATTTCTCCAATGATTGGAGAGGATGAGAGTTTTGTCATGAGTTTGTTGGCCATTCATCTATCCTCATGGGAAAAGATTCTGTTCACGTCTCTTGCCCAGAATTTAATGGGGTTGTTTGCCCTTTTTTTGGTGATTTCCTTAAGTTCTTTGTAGATTCTAGTTATTAGCCCTTTTCTTGATTAGTAGCATGCAAATATCTTCTCCTATTCTAAAGGTTATCTCTTTGATTTGTTGATTATATCCTTAGCCATGCAGAAACTTTTATTTTTAGAGAGAGAGTCTTACATTGCCCAGTCTAGAGTGCCTATGGCATGAATGTAGCTCGCAACATTTAAACTACTGGGTTCAAGTGATCTCAGACACCCCAGTAGCAGTGACTATGGGCTCTCACCAAGATCCCTAGCTCATTTTTTTTTTCCAATTTTTATTAGAGACAGGGTCTTGCTCTTGCATAGGCTTCTCTTGAATTCCCGATCTCAAACAATGTTCCCACCTTGGCCTTCCAGAGGCATTAGCCACTGTGCCAGGTCACTGCCCAGAATCTTTTTATCAGGTCCCATTCATTTATTTTTGTTGTTGTTGCAATTGCCTTTGGGAGTCTTGTTCATAAATTCTTTCATAAGACTGATGTTATTCAGAGTTTTTCTCATACTTTCTTCTAGATTTTTTATAGTTTCATGTCTTATTTTTAATTCCTTTATCCACCATGAGTGATTTTTGTAAATGCCAAGAGGCATAAGTTCAGTTTCAGCCTTTTGCATGTGGCTAATTAACACTGAACTGGCTAACCAATGCCAGCATGACTCATTAAATAGGGATTCTTTTCCCCCGTGTATGCTTTTGTTTACTTCATCAAAGATCCGATGGTGATATGGGACTGGTTTCATCTCTAGGTTCTTTGTTCTGCTCCATAGATCTACCTCTGTATTTTAATACCAATTATCATGCCCTTTTGATCACCACAGACTTACAATCTAAAGTCTAGTAACATTATGCTTCCAGATTTGCTCCTATTTCATAGAATTGCATTAGCTATTTGGTATTTTTTTCTAGATCTATTTTTTTCAAGATCTTTGAGGTATAACCTTAGTATTTTAATGGAGATTGGATTGAATCTATAGATTACTTTGGGTAATATAGACACTTTCACCATGGTGTTTATTTTTATTTTTATTCTTAGAGACAGAGTTTCACTATGTCACCCTCCATAGAGTGCTGTGGCATCATAGCACACAGCAACCTCAAACTCCTGGGCTTAAGCGATTTTCTTGCCTCAGCCTCCCAAGTAGCTGGGACTACAGGCACCTGCCACAGTATCCTTTAATTTTTTGTTGCAGTTGTCATTGTTGTTTAGCAGGTCTGGGCTGGGTTTGAGCCCACTAGCCTCGGTGTACATGGATGGCGCTGTAACCACTGTGCTACAGGAGCCAAGCCCACCATGCTGATTTTAAAAACATATTTAAATGCATGTAGAATGTTTTCATTTGATATAAATGTGTTCTTTGTATTGCTATATTACCTAGGAGACCTTCTTAGCCTAGAATTGACCCTCATTATATTTATTGCCAATACAATGCCCTTTTGTATCTGCCTTATGTAAATATTACTTGACTTTGAAGTATTTTTATAACATCTTGTTGATCAAGTAAATATGCAGTGTATTTTAAATATGTCTATACATGGTCTTGCTCAGAACCTACACCTTGGACTTTTGTGCCTAACAAAAGAGCTCACGTTATATCTGCAGCTTAAGTTGCTTTGCTTAGTGAATGTTTGATTTCATAATCAAGGGGAAGGAGGCCCTTACACAAAAAAAGGGACTCACAGGCCATTGGTTGGACTTCTGAATTTTCACCAATATGTATTTATTTATTTGGGACTTCTGCTTTTTTTTTTCCATTTTTTTTCTTTTTTATTCAGTCTCTGTAGAGACTGTCAAAAATTGCCAATGTCACCTATATTCCAAGTCATCATGTTGGGCTGTTGGGAAGTTTTCAATGAACAATAATTGCGCCTCAGATAAACTCATTGGCTACGATACTGCCACTGCACAAAGCTTCTCCTATTTTTTTAAAATCTTTTTTTCTTAAGGGAAAAATGCAAACACCACTAGAAATAACAAATTAATTGTGCTACAAATGATATAAATGAAACAGTCTCAATTAGGAATTTAGATTTTTCTTTTATACTTATAGCAATTTCCCACAGGCTATCAGTTAAAAAAAAAGTTTGAAAGCATATGTGCTGATTTGTGTGTGTGTATTGGTGTGTGTGGCAAGGAAGTGCAGGCCTGGGGAAGATCTTCCAAAAAGAATAGGTAGTCTTAAGAATATTGTAATCGTGTTGTATTTTATTGATTAATAATTTAATATAGGGTTTTCACTGAGTATTACATGTACCTTTAGGTTATTATGGAACTGTCACATAGAAACATCTTATCTAAAAAATAATAATGTTTGCGAACTGACTTGGTTAACACTGTCACTGACTCGTAGTGCAGAGAAATGATTTTAATAAAACACTTTTACAGGCAAAGGACAAGAGCATTGTCTCTGTCCAGTGAGGGATGGGGGCATTTCAGTTTCCTGGCACAGAGTGCTTGTCTCCATTTAGCCTACAGTGACATCGAATCAGTAACCAGGTTTGCTCACTAGTAGCAAGCTGTTTCTACCATCACTTGCACATTGAAATGCCTGGTATAGAAAGTTAAAATTAATTTTTTAACAGATAATGATATCCGATTTCTTTATTTCAGCATAATTTCCAAATACAATGCATGCTTTTTTTCATTTTTATAAGAAAGCTTAGATATATTGATATAATGATTTTAGATTTAGTTTAAACAATTCTGAAACATTATGCAATTAGAAAAAAGAATCTTTTTTTTTTTTTTATAAAGATGGGGAATGATATTGAAGGCTCAGGGAAGAGCGGTAGGAAGTCACTAAGGTAGGAGGTGGTGGTACAGAAGAAATGGCCTCTACGTCTCTCTTGCATATGTTTAGTGTCGTGTCTACAGTGAAAATGTTCAACTGTCTTAAAAGTCTCTTATAAATGTTTAGCGTTTCTTTTCACCTTATTTCCTTTAGATTGACAACAATGTGGTAAAACAAAAATATCCAAATGTCAGATGACAGTGCGAATTCTATTACGTGAGAGATGTGTAAACAGCAAAAGGCACATTCAGAAAGGCGTCTTGGCTAACCAGCTCAGATCCAGTCTCCCCCTAACTTCCATGACAGGCTTCTCTCCAGCCTGTTCATTTGGTGAGGACATTGCTTTCTGTTTTTGTTTTGTTTACATTTCAAGTTACCCTTGAGAAAAATATATCTATATGTGCATGTGTGTTGGGCCTGTGTGAGAATGTGCATGTGTGTGGGAATGAGGGGGGAGAGAGGGAGAGCGCCCCAGGAGGAGAGGCAGGGGAATGAAAAGAAGGAGAGCACAAGAACATTTCTCAGAAAATGTGGCTTAGTCTCCATATAACATTTATAATATAAATACACAACCTATAACACAGCTCTCTGGACAATTGTGACATCATTGTCTTTCCTCTAATTCCAGGATGTTCACCAATATGGTTAGTATCTTACTATTCTACTGAGAGATTTACTTACTCTAAAATTATTTTACATTAGCCCATCCCAGTATCCCCAGGATGTATATCGACCATAAAAAGGGAGTTTAAGGTGAGGGATAAAATATTTCCTTCAATGACTTGCAGTAACATTTATAAGATTGCAGGCACCTATGAATAAACACTGGGGTCTCCATGGATCACCTAAAAATGCATTTATTCTACAGTAGTGTGTATTATACTGTCTCTCTATCCAAAATGCATAATTGAAATCGCTTATGATCAAATTTTTGCTTTCTTTGGCAAGCTACTTGCATTTACCTTTTTTCCCCTAAACATAAAAAAGAAACATATCATGATTATATACTAAATTAAAAGATTGTGCAAAAATTAAATGACAAATACATGTAAGATATTTAGAAGAGTGCCTGCGTAATAGGTTGCCAGGGCTACTGTAACAAATTACCACACTCTTAGTGGCCTAAACAACATAACTTGCTGTTTTGCAGTGCAGCTGTAGTCCTTTGCTAGTGGTTCTTGGAAGAATCTGTTTCTTTGTCTTTTCTGACTTCTATAGTGGGAGCATTCCTTAATTCTTGAGATCCTTCTATTTTCTTTCTTTCTTTCTTTCTTTCTTTTTTTTTTTTTTAGAGACAGAGTCTTACTTTACTGCCCTCGGTAGAGTGCTGTGCTGTCACAGCTCACAGCAACCTCCAACTCCTGGGCTTAGGCGATTCTTTTGCCTCAGCCTCCCAAATAGCTGGGACTATAGGCACCCACCACAATGCCTGGCTATTTTTTGCTGCAGGTTGGCTGCGACCAGGTTTGAACCCATCATTCTAGGTATATGGGGCTGGTGCCCTACCCACTTAGCCACAGGCACCACCCAGACCGTTGTATTTTCAAAGTCAGTAACATCTATTCTGGACGCTCTCAAATCACATTACTCTGACTACTCTGCCTCCCTCTTTCACATTTAAAAGACTCAGGATTATTTTGGGGAAATCTACCCTGACAATAAGGATAATCTCCTAATTTTAAGGTCAGGTGACTAGCAACTTTAATTCCTTACTGCCTTCTTGGAAGGACTATTATTCTATTGGTAAATTAAGTTTAGCCTAAAGCTGCCTCCTTTCATATTTTAAGTTTGACCTAAAGGATTCTCTGTATATAGTGCCCTGCGACCTAACTGGATACGTAAACAGATGGTAAGCTATTCTAGTGTCAATCACTGAATTTTACCCAATCAAAGGTGGCCAACTTCTCAAATCACGTTCAAATATGGTAATGACGATACTATAACCAATTCAGCTGTTTCTGTACCCAATCTCTGTTACTTCCCTTATTTTGTCCTTAAATCTTTGACATCCTAGCAGGACTGGGTCTCTCTGAAGCTATTCTGGTTCAGAGGCTGCCCACTTCATGAATGGTGCTTTGCCCAATTAAATTCTGTTAAATGTAATATATTTTTCTTTTAACACTACCTATCACAGCTTGATACATAGAATTTTAAAATTTAAAGTACAGTTATAACATTTTTGAGGATAAATATACATGGATTTTTCTGAGTAGTTTCATAGTTTAAACCCCCAAATCAATAAAGAGATAAAGAAATAATTATTTTTAAAAATGAAGTACATGACTTAGAAAATAATTTATATATGTTGAAATGAATACTGAAAAGTGAAGTATTAGAAATCTTCACTAATTATTCACTGTTATATATGACTTGACTGGATCCAAAAGGGTTTTTATTTTCTTTAAGAAGTATTCTTTTAACTGAAACATTGTCAAGTGTATTTGGTTTATGTCTCATTTTAATTCCATTCCATTGCATGTACAATTAGTAGGAAATTTATTAAAAAAAAACTATTTGGCTTCACACAGAAGGGATTATATGCAGAGCTGTATTGTAGATTCCAGAATAAAAAGTCACTGATAATAAGTGAGGAAGGGAAATTAACACATGTTCTGGACATTATGTCAGGCGCCCCACTGCTTGCTTCATTTTCACCAAAATCACAAGTAGTTCACAAGTAATTGTCCTATTTCATGAGTAAGAAATCTAAGATTTGGAAAGGTAGAGCAACTTGATGACATTTATACTGCTAAGAATATGTAAGCTTTCTAATTCAAATATCTGGGTTCTCTCTCAATGCTCTGCTTCTTCTCTAAAATGAAGCTTCTGCTTGTCTTGGTTTCCCATCTGTACCATTTAATTTCTCAGAAAATGTTGCTTAGTCTCCATATAACATTTATAATATAAATACACAACCTATAACACAGCTCTCTGGACAATTGTGACATCATTTTCTACTGTCCCATTAAATAAGCCGAAACTACTATTTTAAGGACAAACAATTTTCCATTCAGCAGTGGGGATATTTATGGTTTTCATTCAATGCATGTTTTCAATTTCATACCATGTGATTTTGAACTAACAATTTCAGGCCACTAGCATTTGTCTCTGTCTCCTTCTTAATGAACTGAATGTTTCCAAGAACATTTCATGATGTAATTGTGTTGCTGAGAAAGATAAAGTCGTTTCCTCTGCAGAAAATATCCTTACAATCCTAAAAGATTGGAATTAGTTGGGAGTGACCCATAAGAATTATTGATATCAGTTTCTTCAAGCTTGGCAATTGGTTCTCTTTAAGCACTTAAGATTCTATTTTTGTTTATTTCTTCCCTCTTACACTTATTCATGCTGTAGCATTGTAGTTATTTCCAAATAATTCAGGAAGTTTTGAACTAGATTTTGTTCTCCTTGAAGGTAAAGTTTATATTTCTATTTTATTTCCATGTTGTTTAACACAGGCATATGAGTATTCTGTTTGGTGTAAGCATTTAACCGATGCATTTAAAGGGAATTTGATAGGGCTTCTTACTTTCTATTCCTCATAAAGCCTTGTGTCTTTATAACAAATAATTTTAACACAGCAAATAGTGACTGTGACTCTAGAATCCAAAGCTTCCTTTGAACCTAATCTCCATGCTCCACCAGATATGAGAAGACCCAAGGCAAGCAAGGTGGCTAGAAATGTAAATTACCTCTTTATAGCTTGGAGTTATGGTTAGAAAAAAAGTTATTGGCTTAAACTTTCAAATTACTGTGTAAATAATTTGTAAGCAAATCAACCAAACTTTTAAATGTTGTAGTGAGCAAAAGCAGTGTTTACAAAAACATATTTTTAAAAACAGAAATATGTCTTGTCTTCATCAGCACTGATATTTTCTAATTGTAAATAGGCTTTGTAGAATTCCAGGAGATAGAAATGTATGACTTATTCATAGTTTCACATGAATGCACTTGGAATTAGTATGTAATTGACTTAAACTGTAAAGACAATAGATAATTTGCTCTACTCCATGTGCTTCCCCCCCATCATGTTTCTTTACTGAGTTCATTACATAGGAAAACAATGGTTTCTAATGTTTCTTTCAAAGAAAAACAGAATACCATCACTATCAGAGAATTTTC